TTAACTATAAAGTTTTTCGATAAATCTTTCGGTTGAGATAGCCGTAGCGAAAATTTTTTAACGATAAACAGAAGCAGGTCTTTAAGACAGAAGGTGGAAAGACCTAATGACTGGTAGACTAATTGTTCACGAACAACTAGAGGTATTTCCACCTTCTTGAAATTTATTTATTTTTTCATATTTAACTCTCTACAGTTAAATTTCATTAAAAAAAAACAACAGAAATCGCTTAAAAGTCCCCCCCCCCCCCAAAAAAAAAAAAAAAAAAAAAAATATCGAAAAAATTAAAGTGACCTTGACCTTGACAAGATTATAAGGTCAAAGATCAAGGATCACATTGCAATTTGTCCCACGTTTCCACAACTTTTCTTTTAAAATTTTAAGCTTTAACGGTAAGCGCAGACATGAAAGGGCAATAACTAACGTTAGGGCTCATAGGATTTTTTTTTCAATGAATAGATTGAAGTTTTGTCTCGGGAAACTAGAGACATAAGTGAAGGTTTGGTGTTTATACGGATAAAGGTTTCAGACGGGTAGCGATAGTAAGGTTTATACTGATAGGGGCAATAACTTCTAAAGGAGTCAGTCTTGTCAGAGGACAAAAATGAAGTATTTGAAATAGGTTTAAAAGCACATATAAAAGGTGCAAAGATGTATATTATATAAGTTGAAAAAAACAATGGAAAAGAGATATAAAAAGAGCGGAATTTCTCAAATTTTGAATGACTTTAACCTTTGATCTTGACCTATATTTCAAGGACAAAGATTAAAGAACCTAATGCATTTGGTCCCATGTCTCTACGATTTATTATTTAGAGAATGCTTCACACCTTTCCACAGAAAGGTGGAAAATCTAATAAACATAAGCATTTCCAGAAAAATTCTAGTTTTTTAAATATAAAGTGGCTAAAAAAAGTGTAATAAATGAAACTAAAAACGCTAAAATCGATTAAAGATGTTTGAATTATGAAGTCGAAACTGAAAGGTAATGTAACTTTTTCTGTTCATCAGATAACCACGTGCTGGTCAATATATGCTATTATCTCATAATATCGCGCTACTTATTCTTTCGCGTAAAAAATATTCCAATTTTTTTAATTTTTCATCAAATACTATTCATGAACCTAACAATGAGCTTATTATATAATCTTTAAGGGCAAATTATTTTTCAAGCTTGCTTTGTTTATTTTGTAGCCTTTTTAAAAAATAAAAAGTCTTATTTACCTCCTAAATTGTCGCCCGCATGGCGCAGTGGTTAGAGCGTCTGCTCTAGAGTCGCGAAGTAAGGAGTTGATCCTTACGTCACGGGTTCGAATCCCACTGTGGGACGTGGAGACCGGTCCTTCGGATGAGACCGTATAAACCGTGTCGCAGTAGGTGCTGGCACGAAAAAGATCCCTCCTTGCTCAATGGCCGTAAGTGCCGAGTATAGGACAAAATTTGCAGCTCTCCACCGGCAAGTGGTGGCGTCTCCATATGAGTGAAAAATTCTCGTGAGGGACGTTAAACAACATACAAACAAACAAAAACCTCCTAAATTAAAGAGATATGGTATCGCGGTATTAGAATAAATGAAAGCTTGGCGCTGCCATGAAATATGTTTTCTTTTTTTTAAATTCAACCTGTGAATCAACATGAAAACTAAACAATAATTACAACTTAGGCTTTCAAAATATGAAGTTCATTATGATTTTTACTAGGTCTATATATTCAACGGTCTAAAAAGTAAAAACCGGAAGGGAGTCTGTGAAATTGCTCTTAATGAAAATGAACTTTTCTCCAGCGTGTGTTCATTTTTTTTTCTTCATCAGGAGCTAACAATCAGATGATAGAGAGAAACTTCATGAACAAAAATATGTTGGAAAAAACGCGATTCAATGGAACCGGATATATATATTGAGAATTACTGAGTATAGAAAAATCACTTATTTTGAGGTCACACATGTACGAGCTCATTGGGGTCAAATTCTCGTGTTTTGAAGAAAAAATATTGGTTTGAGGAGATTTGATTACGTGGTGGAAGAAGAAACATCAACTTAGAGTATTACATTTCAGTATTTCGAGAGGGACATGAGTTAGTGGGTAACCCCATTCCACGAAAACAACGAAAGTAAAACTCCAACGAAAACGATTGATTCCATAGTATACACGTCTACTTCCTACATTCCCTTGAACTTTTTACCTCCCACTTCCCGTTTGTGTTCAGCGTTCGCACAATGTCTGCTTATCGTTTAGAGTTCTTTCTCCTCCGTTTCATCAACCTCTCGCGCTCACACTTCGCAAAGCTTTAAGCGTTTGCTCAGCATGCATTCACAGTTCACTTATACTTACCGTTCAGCGTTCGAAGTTGTAATACGTAAAAAAAAGATGGACACAAGGGTATTATAGGTTTAAAATAAAATCAAATGGACTTATTTTTTTTTAACCAAAATCCTTATTTGACTTTAGACATTGTCTATCAAAGAATTTATAACCATAATCTTTAAAATATAAATGCTGTTCTTTATAGAGAGAAAAAAAAAATCAATGTTTCCGTTCAAAAAACAGCAGTATACGAGTACATATGTTAATCACTGATATCTTCATCGTGTTGCTGGCTTGGAGTCAATTACAGAGAGATAAAAAGGATAAACAGCATAATTAAAAAGTTATTCTTTTCTCATGTGCTTTTCATTGTTATTGAAGGTATTAGTACATGAAGTTCTAAGATATCATGTATTATATGTGATATATATATATATATATATATATATATATATATATATATATATATATATATATATATATATATATATATCACATATAATACATGATATCTTAGAACTTATATATATATATATATATATATATATATATATATATATATATGTGTGTGTGTGTGTGTGTGTGTGTGTGTGTGTGTGTGTGTGTGTTTTATATCTATCTATCTATCTATCAATCTATCTATCTATCTATCTATATTGAATTGTTATTACGGTGTGGGCTAAGTGTGGCTTGCAAGATCTTGAAACAAATGGAAACAAGATTTTAGTGAATTTTGTGTTTTGTAAAATTCAGAAAGACATAATTCTTACAAACGTTAAATGTGTATCTTAGAATGATTGTTTATAAGTCAGTTTGCAATGAAAGACCGTTATCGTAAATGTTATTTGAAAGTATACACTACGACCGAAATAGTGATGCGTTGAGTGACGACACTGTTGAATCTGACTGAAATTCAATTGGATCTGACTGACATAAAATTGCGAAATCCAACAAAGAATCTTATTGGTGCATTTTTAATAGGTCCGCGCACATTCTTTAACGTATTGCCGAAAATATGGAATGTTACCAAGAAAGATAGAAAATGGGCGAACGAGCTTGAGTATTTTATTTTAGTGAATAAGTTGGACGATGCAATACCTTATTAAATGATTGTGAGTGTTGGTAAATTGTGAAATGGTCTTGCAAATAAAACCTGTGCCGGGACTGGCAGGAGTTGACTTCATATATCTGTACATGTACCCCAGGGCATATTTCTGAAATTGAAAAACACGGCTGTTTTCCCACGTTTTCTTCTTCAGGTAGAGCACATCAATAAAATTAAACGTACTTAGATTCGGTGAATATATTGTTTTAATTATGTATTTTTTAACATGCAAGTATATATGATATTTATCATTTTATAATAAATATATAATTAATATTTGCCGTTACAGTAAAAGGTGCATGCACTGAAAAAACACAGGGATTTCGAATATTCTGATCGCTTGTTTATTGCCATGACGGCCGTTAAAATGAGTATGCAGTAGCACACACACATTTGAAACATGGTATTTTTGTCAGTTGTGGTAATAAAACAGTAAACTTTTGAAAAAACCAAATGTTTCACATTTGGTTTACAGCTGTGTATGCTTTACAATAATACCCGAGTTTTCAATTTGCTTGGATTTAGTTCACTTGTTTACAATCACTAGGGACGAAAAACATAGAGAAAAAGATTTTTAGTGCGCCGAAGATTACGTCGAACAGACTTATTCAATTTAACGAACACCGAAAATGGAAAATGCCGTCAAATCGGCAGAGATACATGTAGGATAAAACAATTTTTGTCCTTTAACAATATACATTTACTGCATGTGAAAGGAATATCACATGCTGAAATGTGAGTTTGTTTCTTTTGTTTCTTTTTGAAATGTTTCTTTTTCTTAGTTCAAAAAGTGAACATGAGTTACCGACCATCATATATGACTATTGGATAGGCCGTTGGACGCTTTCCAACTATATGTAGGCAAAGGATAGCACACGAGAATGGGCGGGTCATAATCAACCAATTGAAATGCATCTTTTATAAAATGTAACCCGTGATTCAAATTGTTCAGTTGTCAAACCCAATAGTGTCATCACTTGATGCAACGCTATTTCGATCGAAGTGTTTACTTTTAAGCGAGATTTGCGATAAAGATACACAATTATGGTAATAAATGAAATTAGAAGGAAGTCGGTTGAGTATTTGAAAATATTTGGTAGGAATGAAAACTGTCCTCCGGCAACTGTATATAGGTTAACATTGTTATTATCATTGAACGAAAACTATTTATATTTTCAGCATTTTTTGTCCGAGATAAAACTACAAAAAAAGGAGATAGCTATATATCTTCGTAAAGCCATTTCCTCATAAAAGCCATTTCCTGACAAAACTGCCTTCTTGCTTTGCTTGGCTTAGCAATACAATAGGCGGGGATCAAGACTAAGATTTCTAATTAGTGAATAGAAATAACTAATTTTAGTCTTTTATTGCCTCAAGGGTAAGGTAAATAAATAAATACATGTATAAGAAATAACTCTGATTTGGGGTTTTATGATGATGATCAAACCGTGCTAACTTGATATTTTAATGCATAAACGTCTTTGGATTTTATACTTATTATCTCAGTTATCAAACTGTTTGATCATTTTATTATAAACAAAATCTACACAGTTACTCCATTAATGAAATTGATATTCATTTTTTTTTTCAGTAAAAGTACCCGAAGAAATATTAAGATGGGATATGGATGCTAGAGAAAGGTTTGTGAAGAACTTCAAGTTAGGAAGGGAGAAAATGTTCCGCGCCAGAGGCATGATAGTTGGCTGTGCAGGCGCAGGAAAAACAACTCTTCTTAGAAAGCTTCAAGAAAAAAGAAGACCAGATGAAAATAAACCAACTGAGACAACTATAGGTCTTGAGGTCCATGAAGATTTGTTTGCTATTGAGGACAACAAGTTAAGAGGTGATATTTTCTTTCTCTCACAATGTGTCTATGAACTGAGTGTATTCATGTTAAAGCTTATGGTCGAGTCAAACATTACCAGATAGCGCTAACTGACATCAAACTGCAGTAAAAAAAAAAGTTCAATACCTTCTTATAATTTCGCTTAGGTTTCTCATTTGTTGAACATTTTCAATACCAGGAAACATCCGATGAAGGTCGTTGGAATCTTTTTCAGCACGTTTAGAATTAATTCGCTTAGTGAAGAGATAAATAGCATAAAAAAGAGTCAACGAATTACATTTTACCCCTTTTTAGTGTGACTGAGGCATTGGTATGTTCATGAATAATTTTAATGTTTTAGGAGACAATTTGTTTTAAATTTGCTTTGTAAAATAGTGTTTTTCTTTAGGTTCTATAATCTTTACATTGTCTTCGTTTTCAATTAGATTTTAGCAAGGAGAAAGCAGACTACAGTACAAATCCATATTTTGACAACAATGTGATAAGTATGACAGACTTTGCAGGACAAGTGGCATACTACGCATGTCATCAGGTATACCTGTCAAGGAGAGCATTCTATATCGTGGTTATTGACATGTCCAAAAATCTTAATGAAGAAAGTCGAATGTATGACACAGATCGTCATTACCCAACAGGATCCTTATTTCACACTTGGACTTACGGAGGTGAATACCAATTTAATAACTAATTCAATCAAATAAATCTGTTTTAAATTAGGTTGGCCCCAGTCCTTTTTATCATAAGAACAATTATAATTTTAATTAATTATATTTTCTATCCTTGGAAATAAGATATCGAATTATGAAATAGCATACATATTATTTTTTCGTGCGTTTGGTGTTTATATATACGGATAAAGGTTTTATTATGTGATTAATTGATACTTACTCGTTAAGCATACCATGTCATCCTTATTGTTACATTTGTTGAGTCCTAGACGAACGCAGTAAGAGGCTGAGTGAAGTGGGACTACCATAACCACTTGTATTAATTGGCAATTTCTTGATTCTTTTTTCCATGTAGAAAAACGAAATATAAAAATGTTATGTTCACCGGGTCGCCTGGTGCTGGTGAAAAAAAAAAAAACCTTTCATTAACAACTGTATCAATCTGGAATTTCATGATCAATTTTTAGTCCAGTATAGAAAAAAAAAACAACTTTAGTTTACCTAGGAGGTCTCCTGCAGGCGAACGTAATTTAGTATGGTTTTACAATGAGGGATCTCAACCAATCAGAGAGCTAGGAATTGTTATATCATATGATAGAGAGCTAGGTTCACTTTATGCATAAAATGGCCCTGTTCTTGTATCAATTAATAGACTATCACCTTCCGCCCCATTTCATATATCAAAATAAAGTAGAGACTTAGCGCTCCCATTTCCTTTTTTTTAAGAATTAAGGTTTTGGAAAACGTGCTTTGTGAAAAAATGCAATGTTCTTGAATTTTGCAGAAAACAGGCATATTTGACTTCATCCAGCAAAGAATTAAAATATGAGAACAACCCTCGACCCCAAAATTAAAACATGTTTTATGATCTTATGGAACACACCTTTCATTATGTAATTCGCAGCTAGGTTAAGGACGCCCATGAAATATACGCCTTTATATATTCAGGGAAAATAAATACAATTTTAATATTTTTTTAACGGCAGTAGTTTTGATAATTGTGAATTGTGGTGTTTGCATTTGTATATATCGGGTTCGGCCAAAGTGGCATCGCTTACATCAGCTGTTTGTCACGTGACAGGTTTAAAATTGGCCCATATATGTACTACTACAAAGATCGTAAAAGTTCAACGATATATGGGCATCTTTCCATCTTTCCGCTTTAACATTTATTTTGTTTTCCTTGAGACAAATTCCTTAACCCGAAAAGTGCTGGGAGCAACTTCCTCATGCTCGAGAATTGTTTAAAATTTAGCCGTCTTTCTATAAACTCCAGACAAAAATGAAATATGCATTGGAATAATGTTAGATTACGGAATAAATAAACAACGTACAACCAGCTCCCAGCACTTTTTATGATAGTAGGAATAATAGCTACACGTGTTTAAAAATTCAGAATTTATAGTGAAGCTGATATCGTTGAACTTTTGATATTTTCGAGGGGCTGGACCTGTCATTCTAGCACGTCACTGTCCAAATGTGCTCCCTACGGCTATATATAAAGTCGTAACATTATCAATTTAGTTTGACAATAAAATGTGGATTAACATATTACAGAATATGTCTCTCTTTTGGCCCGACTACGCATGTTTCGTATTTATTTTTATTTTTACAAGCTACGATAAAAGCTTGATCCACGCCTCAAATACAGAGACACTGCGTGTCCAACTAAGAAATGACGTCATCTCAGTAAGTACAGCGAGATCAAGCTTGCTTTCATTCTGCATACGCGAAGTGCTATTATGGCAAGATAAGCTGCACATCCATTTATCTTTATAACATTTATGAGAAACGAAAGTATTTAGTGCGTTTTAAAAAGAACGTATAGTATTTATTCATCAAGATTCATTTGTATTGTTTTAACGTGACGTCATAATAGCTTTCCCGAACCCCTGCATAGACTGACGTATATATGGGAGTCCTTAACCTAGCTGCGTTGCATATTTTGGATTAGAGGTTGTGCTCTATATAAGATATTGAAAAAATACTCCAACTTTTGGCCATTTTTAAAGGAATCTACAGGATAAGGTAAAAATGACGCATTTCATGACGTCATAATATATTGACTATGGAGTAAATTACGTCATGTTTAATAGATACACGGTCACCAAGGGTCCAAGTGATAAATACTGCATTGTCAACCAAAACTGAGCAGTTTCGTTTTTCAGAAACTTACAGGGCAAAAAAAGCCCTATGTGGCCCTTGTTCTTTGAATGTAATATCTATGAACATAATTAAGGATTATCAAAATTAGAATAATATGAGTAAAAAAAAATATTCATGACTTAGAGTCCATTAAATCACTGTCGAGCACTGATTCTGCGTTCTTGCACTTTCATAGACAACAAAAATATGAATCATTCATAAATACTGAATGTCGTGAACAGATATACATGTGTTGTTGAATTTTAATTTGGACTTCAAAATTCCTTGTTTTAGGAGTGAATATTTTTTTTTAAATTTCAAAAACGAAACCGATAATCCAAACATACTGTTTATATGGCCATACTCGGATCTATTGTCTATTGTTTTGGAATTTACAAAATCGGAAAGAGAAAAATATATTTCTGTTCAATTTCCCCTGGATTCTTTTGATACGACCATATACTATGCTAGCGGAGAAGTGTGTATCCAGTTACCTTGTAAAGTTCTTAGAGATTTCGAACCATGAAATTTTGTTGTCAAGAGAAGTGTTGGAATATTTGAATGCAGTTCAAAGTCAAAAAAGTCAAAAATGGCTTAAGCCTGTTGGTAAGAAGAGTGGTACGTGATGTAGTAGGAATCACGAGGTGCTCTAAGATCGCACAATTATACAAGTTTTCTTACACAAAATGCACATGATGTGATTCCAGATGATAAATTTTTAGAATTTTATGGCTGATGGAATAAAAAGTGACTTTTTTTTATCAGAAGGATAAACTTATCTATATGGTCCCAAAAGGTAAGCTACCCTTCTTATCAGAGATTTTTTTTTTCTTTTTGCATAAAATTTGGGGAAAATTAGTCCTTTTTTATTTGAACATGAATGTGTTGTTTCATGAGCTGTTGCAAAGACCAAAATTCCTGAGGTTGACCGAATCATAAAGCATATAAAACTGTAATAGAAGATGGGGTGGGGATTAAATACTATACTCCTACAAGTGCCTTTTTCAACAGCTAGTACAAAGGGGAAAGAAATCAGTTATATTGGATGGTGTGCTGAGGGATGTTGAATTGGGAGCGCGAGTTGAAAATGACAGCGATTCAGCAGCTTTGATTTAAGGTGGACAGAGATTGGTTCAGAACTTAAGAACACAGCCATGTTTCATGAAAACATTTTGATACTCTTTAGTCGAGTTTCAACCAATTCCAGAATTTTTTCTAGTATTAATATTTTGTAATATCATTAAAGGAACTAATCAATAAAGTCTGCAACACTCAGAACAAAAGGGCACCAACCAATTAGAAGGCTTTTAAAAAATAGTGATATTCCTCTTTCTACCAACTTTGCTATCCTATGAAGAAAAATTCTACCCATTTATCTGAAGAAATACTTCTCCAACCGCCCATTAGAAACAACATTGTTACCACTCGCTGTGTGTGTGGGAAGGAGGGGGAGGGGTGGATGAGAGGGGGTTGAAGGTGGAAAAATATGAGATGATGATATTGGTAAAATTATTCTGCGCTAGCCTAAAGGTGACAAGTGAACTAGCAGACTCTAGTTGTTCAAGCCGAGTATCGGCTTGCACCTACAGATGCTCTCTTACTAGCATATCGTATATCGATGTCTTATTGCTTCTAGTCTATTATCATTCTTTCCAGAAAGAAATACTTCTAGATGGCTGGAACCTTTCTTAAACCTGCAATCATTCCTGTTTATATTGTTTTGGCTTTTCAAGAGCTTCGAAAACATTTAGTTAATACATATCACTCATTGACTTGATGCGATGCATATCACTGAAAACTTCCCTGAAAGTGTACAGAGACACTTATGATATTTGTACACTATGAGACACCTATGACTTTATAAAGGGGAAGGAAAACTAACTGATCCCCCCCCCCCACCAAAAAAAAAAAAATAACGAGTAAATAAAAATCATAAAAATCGTCTTTTAGTTGTGTTACAAACACTCTTCGAAAATTATTATCTTAGGAATTGAAGAGCCTGAGAATTAAGGCTTAAAATCCTTTCCTATACAAACAATGCGAGCACAATGTCAGGCTTTGGTATGGAGATGTGCAAATATTGGTAGGCCCACATTACTAAGTCCAGCGAGATGGGATGGATTTCCATGGTTGTTTGCTGCACACTTATGACTAAGCCATTACAGAGAATTTTCCTAGATTTTATAATTTGCACCATCAGTTGTAGAGTAGCGAGATCTAGATAAAAACCTATTAATCTGCAGTGTATGGGCATTTGCAAATGAAAAATCCTGAACATAGAAAAGATGAAAAGAACAGAAAAAAACTCGAATTAAATGTGGAAACAGCTAAATTTTACGTATTAAAATGCTAATTTCAGTGTTCTATTATCATTTTTAGTGTTGCATTACGCTCAGTAAGATATTCACGTATTCTTTTTCCTCATTTGAACGACATTAAGGGATAATTAGAAGAAAAAAATGGATATCCGACATCTGAATCGCCATTTTGACCTATATAACGCCATTTTCATGAAGGCCAACATATCTTTTCAGACTCAGCATACTAAAAAAACCATGCTGGACCAAGTAATAATTATTTGCAGTTAGATGTTTTTTTTTCTGTAAATCGGACCAGCCTATATAATGATCTAAATCAAAACAAAAGGAAGTAGAATTTCGTAAATAAAGTAAGAATATTTTTAGGATGATTCAAACAATATGATTTATTTTTTGCAAGGACATGTACATGTAATTATCCACTGAACACATTTTTAGAAGCAACAATTCAAAACAATAAACAAATCTGATAAGAATAGAGCGACTTTGATTCCTCCAATCAGACAATTATTATCAATGTATTTTGTCATCATAAAGAGTCAACTGACATTATACTTTATTACTGTCTTTTTCAAAAAAGCATATTTTCTTTTATTTGTTTCAAAATCCAGTCAGGGTTTCATTTATCATGCTAGGTATACGTTATAAATCAGATCACCACATGAATTGTAATGAACAATTATACATATTATAATTATCACAATGTGTAATGATAATTAGTTTCTCATAATTCCCGATTAAAAAAAATCAAACGAAATTTTTGGAAAATTTATATTCATTTATCTATTTTTATTTGAAGACTACTTCCATTTTTGGCTGCAAACTATAAATACATACTGCAATGATGGAATAACACAAATAGATCCGAAGGACACAACATCATACAAAGAATCTATGGCGGAAGTCAATTTTCACCCGGTAATCCTCGTTGCCTCCCATAAAGACAAGCTGGTAAGCACAGCGTGCACTCTTTAATAAACATACATTAATTACATATGCAAAAGATTGTCGTGCAATGTATCACTCTGAATGATGGGGTGTTTGTGATATAATTTAAAACATCTTACCTTACCAAATATTGATTCCACACATTATAACAATTATAACACCTTGGTTGATGTTAAACTTATGAAATTTACTTTGATATTGAACATTGATAGGTCTTTAATGTATAAAGTTCTTTGTTCATATCCGACCCTTTGGAGGTAGGATTGATCTACAATAGGTATTAAGCAAAACGTACCTTAGTATTATTGATTTTTTTTCCCTCAATTATGAGCCTTTGAGATATAGTTGAGACAAAGTCAGTTATTTAAATTTTATATAATACGTGTACAAGAAAAATATATTATACAGAACATCAGGGCTGTTTTGATCGTATTGATTCTGAAGCATCCCAGTGTTGCATGATTTCAAATTTTATAAAATCAAAGCTCCTTTGTGGCTAAATTTGGTTAACAATGGGGAATAAAAATTCTGAAATAAAAGAGTGACAAAGGCAAGGTCGCTTGTATCTTTAATATATTTCTCAGATAGCCATATGTAATGAAAATTATCATTTTTTTTTTCTAAAAGAGTCAAAAAGAAAAAAAAAGCAAAATTAATTTAGTTGATGAACATTGTAAATTTATTTCGTTTGTTTTTCTTTGGACAAGTTTAATTCTTTTCGCTGTAATTTAGCAGGGCGGTACAATGGATACATTTTACAGCCAACTGGAAGCGTGTTTATCTAAAGAACAAACATTGAAAAAACTTATATCACCATACCGATATTTTGAGGTAGAGTGTCCACCAAAAGTATTGACTCATAAGCAGCAAAGCTCAATTGACCTTGTTAAGAAATGCATCGTGGAAACTGTACAAAAGCTGCCACAGTGGGGAGAAGAAGTTCCTTTGACTTGGTTTGAACTTGAGAAAATTCTTGATCAGAAGAAAGCAAAGGGAGATAAAGTCTTAAAGAGGCCACATTTGATAGAAACGGCAAAAATATTGTCTTTAAATGAAAAAGACCTCAGTGATGTTCTCCGTTTCTTACACGAGATAGGAAAAATCATATATTTTCCTATAGATAAACTCAAAGATACGATAATCATTGATGTTCAGTGGTTTGTTGATGCATTCAAGTACATCATAGCTGACGAAAAGCATTTTGCTCGGAAAGACAACAAAAACATATTAGTTAATACCGGAAAAATTACTGGACAGTATATGGAAGAAGTGTGGAAAAGTATTAAAGTCAATCAAAATGTACATTACTTTGACATGGATGTTAATGATGAAACTGATAAACATCTTGATTTTTTATGGCCATCCTACTTAAGTTATAAAGATGATATAATACAATACATGGACAAACTTGGCTTGATGACAAGAATTGAAAATCAAGGGGGCGTTGATGATTATGAGGAGATGTATTACATTCCGAGTATGAACCGAACAGACCTTTCTGATGACAGTAAAGATGCCATCAACCGACAAAAAAAATCATTGATGATGGTGTACCATTTCAGATCTTATTTACCCCATTTTTTCTTTTTCCGATTGGTGGTTAATTGTTTAAAGACATGGGAAGTTTGCGATGAAGAGTCTTTTTTTAAAAATGCCGTATTATACAAAGCAGAAGATGCAGGTCATTATTTTGCCATTGCCGTTAGCAAAACATCTATCCAGTTGCAAGTTTTTACACATGACGAAACAGTGGAACTGAGGGAAGAATGCATCAAGAAAACCAGAAAAACAGTGGAAGACTTCATAAAGGAAATAACAGAAACCTTCCACAAAGGAATCATCTATGATAGGGGATTCACATGCAGAGACATAAAAATCACAGATGAGGATGAAGAATTCTTTTTAAGAGAGAATAACATTGGCCGAGAAATTGAAAAATCCAAGGAGATATCTTGTCCAAAACATTTTCTTGGGCCAAATCACCACAAAATTGATACAGATAAAATACTGATGTGTTTGTTGGAGAGAGAGTCCACTTCATCTTCAACGGTCAACTAGAACGTCGTGATTTTTAGAGCAGTGAGACTTTATTTTTTTTTTTTTTAAATATCTTTGCTCTATTTTGTTTTTCGTGAAATACGTAAGAAATGGGTATCCTCACATATTTATAAATGGTATATTATTATTATTATTATCATTTTCACAACATTAAGGACATGTTGCCATGGTAACGTTAACACTTGCCAAAGAATTTTTGCATTGTTTATATTTGTAGTATCAGATCTTTTATCTGAATGAGTTTTGATTTTCTTATGACCATCTGTTTCACATATTTTATGTACAAGCATCGTATTACAGAGACTGGCCCTGAAGTCATATAAGTAACGTATTGTGATGTCTGGATTCTCTAGGCCTGATTTTATGTGCACTATTTACTTGCCTTCAAATATTTCATAATTTCTAAATTGATCGCAATTAGAAGAATCTTTGATTAATAAAACACAACAATTTCAACGTCAAATTTAAATGTCATTTTCAATTAAATAAGGGGAAGAAGGACCTTGAGCTGAGAAAATAATTGTCCTTTAATTTTTTTCATGTGTTGGAAATTTCTAATTAAGTATGTCCCACATATATATCTTAAAGCACTTATATCATTAGGTTTCTTACCTTTTCTTACATGTAGAGACATTGATTGACTATGCCCCACAGTAACTAAGTGGAGTTCTAATTCTCCATATTTCCGGGCTCATTACTCTGTCCATAATGGGATTTTTTAAGCATAAATGGAAATATGTAGTGGAGATGTATCTTTTAGAATATTTCACAATAAAATAATTTGCAAAAAATTATATCATTCAATTTTTTTTTTAATTTACGTTTAATTGCAAGTCCTTCAAACTATTGATTAACTTAAAAAAATGAATGGTGAAGCTTACCTCAATAATTTACAAGACATGGTAAAGAAAGGACAAAAGCATGCAAAAACGCGTCATGTTTACATTTGTCGAGTACGGGAAAAACCAACTATGACGTCATACGTTTGCTAAATAAGCGAAATGAAATATACCTACATAGGACTTCCGTCATCAGCCATGGAAAAATAATTTTTGTGTTCCCCGTTTCTCAAAATATTTCATCATATACTGATTATGACCTGCTTTTACATAATAATACAGCCCTGTATTCACCGAGTATACTCATGATGTACAAACAGATCGTGTATGATGTCACTGACTTGTTTGACGCGCAGTTTAGGGAAACGGAGGAGTGGATCAATCTTTTTTATTGCTTGTTAATCTTTACAGGAATGTTAAATCTTTCTTTTTTTAATTTAAGATGGTAATTATAGTAAAAAAAATAAAAGTTTATACAAGAACTGATGCTTTACACGTTTTACACTTATATAAAAGGAGACTATGACGTTGTTAAACAGAGTCATGTGACGATGTGTCCTTCATCCCCTTAAACTTTACTTTGAAAACAGAAATGATTTACGGTGGCAAAAAAGTTGAGACCTTGATTTTCTTTGGCAAAGAGTTTGATTCATCGATATAAAGTACTGCATGAATAAAAGGAATGTTCTACTTGCTACAAATTTTACCAAAATATTATGAAGCACTTTTCTTTTATTTCCGCAAGTCTTATCTTTGCAATTTTCCCCAATTGTTTAATAGAGTTATCTATCTTTACAGGTTTGAATTTGATTCATGCCTTTTATTTTTTCATTCAAATTTATTTTTGCGATCTACGAAGATTCATTTGTTATATGATAAAGTGTTGTGTTGTGATTTCGTGTATACATAATATTTACACTAGAACTTGTTTTTCATTCATGATTGCTTGGTTTTACATTATCTTATACTGAACTTTTTATTTGAAGAATATTCATAATTATATAAAAAAAGGATGGGTGATCATAAAAGTTTGTGTCTTATTGATTCTTATTGATTTACAATTCCATTTATTATGACAGGAATGCACGGTTTGTGATGTTACTTTTTATCTTGCATATTTTGTATTTCATATATAACCAAGAAATACAGTTTATAGTATAAAATTTCTACTAAAGAAGAACTAACTGTTGATGCGTTTGTTATACCACAAAAGATCAGATAAACTGTTTTGATTTAGAATGAAATATGAAGGCAACAAACAATACTCATGCACGAAGTCTTATCTAACAATGCATATTGTGAGCAAAGCAAACAGGGACCTCTAGAAAAAAAATAGATGGGTTCAGGTTCCATAAGAAGTTAGTATTCCTTGACGACCAGTCACACCATCATGTGCTCCTAATCATGATGGAGTAAACGAAGAATCCATAGTCAAGTCAGGTTGAAGAAAGGCTTGACAAATCGTATGAAAGACGACAGATCAAATTTGACTTTACGATAGATTGAATCTGTAGACATGGTCATTAAATCGTCCATATAATTTGCGAAATGTTTACTTTTAACAAAATTCTTGATATCCTTGCATCTTCAATAGCCTGACTCGTTTTCAAAATTGATCGTACGTAGAACATTCTCTTGCATATCGAATCAAGTAAGAGACATAAACCCTATATCCATGTGATAATTGTATATTGCTATATAAATAAGTGAAGTTGACGATAGAAGAATGGTAGCCATTACGTTTATTTTAAAGTTTATCTGTTAGTTTGTCATCAATGACTTTTTGTAGGAAAGCACCCATATATAAATACATGTGTCAGATGCTCAAATGTAGAACCAACGATCCAGAGCAAATTGATTATCTCAGTGTATATTTCTGTATGAAATAATAACATTCAAAGCAATATAATAAAACACAGATACAGCGAACAAGAGCAGTTTAATCGTTATTACAAGATGATTTAAATTGCCTGTAATTTTAACACTTATACTGAACATATTGGACATATAAGGAATCACGATGGCATGTCCTATCACTTATTATGATCACGGAAAGTGTTTTCCTACCAGATGTCCATGAGTAAAGAACAAAATTTTCCATGATGT